CTGGACTCCCCCCGGGGCTGGCCGGCTCCCTCCCCGCCCCGCCCGGCGGGAGAACACGGCGCCGCGCAGAGACCCCACAGGCGCCGGTGATGCCCAGGGCCTCCTGCCCTCGGGCCTGGGCCGAGCCTTGGCCTGTCCTCCGCTCTTCGGGCACCACTGTTTCACCTCTCCAGTCCCATTTCCGCTGTGCCCGAGCCTTCCAGTTCTGTGCCATCTCCCCTCCACGCCCACCTTCCATACGACACATCTCTGTGTCCAGCCCCTGCTTATCTTTCCCCCCTGAATGCTATACTCTGGCCACGACCGAGTTTTTCCACACATGCTGCTGGCTTTTCCCACTGCCCACCACCCAGCTGGCTTTTCCCACTGCCCAGAATGCACTCTGGAAACCCCCTCTGCCAAGCAAACTCCTACTCATCCCTCAAGGCCCAGGTCAAATGTCATCTTCTCTGGACGCCCCTCCCCCCACACAAACGCCACAGCCGGCAGAGCCGGCGGCCCCTGCTCTCAATCCCTGTCTGCTGTGGTTGACACAGGGCACATCACACTGCGGGGATCTGAGTCTCCCTGACTCAGCTGCGAGGTCCCGCGGGATAAAGCCTGCATCCCTATCACCTATGCGCAGGGCACTAGTTGGGATCAAGGTAGGGGCTCAACAGATGTGATCAATATTTCCTTTCCTGGTTGTCCTTTTTCTCAACCAAGGCACTCTGCCTGCCATCCCTTTTGTGGAGCTGGACATCACCTACCCAGGAATATAGCGCTGGCCCTGGGGCATTTTGGAGGTGGGAGGTCCCTTCAGCTTCCTCTGCTTCTGCCTTTAGACCCTTGCCTACCCCAGCCACAGCTGCCCCTGGGGCAGAGAACAGTCACCAGTGGAGAGCTCACCTCCTCTTAAGTCCCCCAGCTCCTGCAGGTCATCTCCCTGGGCCACAGTGGATGCTCAGACAAAATGCTCACTGAAACAGCATTCTGAATCTGACCCATTTCTTACCTATCAATGGGGAGAGGAGCAGCAGCAGCTGTGTAGCAGGCGCCCCTGGGGACTTGTGTGAATTCTTAGGCAAAGATAA